CAACCATTGAGAGTCAAGCGAAAGGCCAATGGGCTAATATTGAACCTAAACTGCATGATCATTGAGTAAAGTTACAGGCAATGTGGCTCGAGGCGAATGAGAAACAGGACCATCTTCGGAAATAGAAATCGAATGCTCCATGGAAGTATGAGAAATGCCGTATGAATAACAAAAATAACAAGGAAAATTTATACAAGCGGTTCAAACCAGTCACACCACATCTACCTACTTGATTGAGGAACTGTTGTTCTTCAACTGGAAAAGTGAACGAGAGAAAGGAAATAGAAATCATCCCTGTAGCATTGGCACAACGAAGGTGCTCGCAAAAGAGAGAGAAACAGCCCACGAAAGCAGATTTAGATGGCTACATTCTTCATCTCCCCCAAGACCTCTGCTTCCGAGGCCGCGGTTGTCCCTTGGTTAGACTCACGCCTCTGCGCCTTTTCTGATTTGGGTGACTTCTGCTCGTCATGCTTGTCTGTGAGGTTCTGGTTTTCCTTTCCAGAAATCTGTGGTGTGACCACCTCCATCAGATCTTCGGTTTCAGGTTCCTTCCTATTTCCCTTGAAAGCATCCTCGGGCAGCTCAACTTCAGCGCTTGTATTCACAGGACTCGTCGTTTCTTCTGTGACACGAGCGAGAGGACTCGAGACGCCGAACTGCGTCTTGGGACTCTGAGTAGAACCGCGGTTGGGGAAACGGTGAGGAGACCGGCCTCGTTCTTCACTAGGTGTTGGGCTTCCATACGGGGATTCTTTCCCGGGTCTGCTGTTCGTGCTGAGTCCTAGTCCATTTGGAGCCTTGCGTCGAGGGGCTCTTCTGCCGTATTTCTGATCTGTCCTCCAACGCAGAATCTCCAGATAGGGTGGCTCGACATTCTGAGCCTTGAATTCCAACAATTTAAGCTCATTTGTCTCCTCATCTACGCTGACCTTACCACTGCAAAGATCATCCGCGATCACAGCAAGGAAAGCAGCCCAAGAGCGAGCGACAACGTATTTGCAGTCGTAATCACGACCGAAAATGATGACTTGACCCCATTTCCCAGCGGGTCCAGGGGCCAAGTCGATCGCAATGTTGTTTCCACCCCAATCACGAGCAAGAGGGATCCAAGCAGGGTGCGCATACGCCTTCTGTACAGCGCCTGGAGGCTGTGAATCCTGGCGCTCCAGAAGGTCTTGTCTCCAGAGAGGATTCGCGCCTTGCGGAGGAGGTGCCGCGGAGGAAGAGCTTGCTGTGGCTTTTGGAGGAGGATCCATCATGCTGGAACTGCTCAGAAACTCTTCATTGACGGTCCTCCAGTTCTTCCATTCTTGAACGATTTCCTCGCAGTCTAGAAGCATACATCCGAAGATAACACCTGTGGGCAGGCCAGGGCGCTCCTGACCGTCGTGGATCATGAGGGACTCCCGCACCTCCAACGGCAGGCTGCAGTCCAATTCATGCTCCAACTCATTTATATCGTTCTGAGTGCATCCCTCGCAAAGATTATCGTGCAGCTCTTCGTAATTGTTTTCCAACCATCGCTCAATTTTTCGCCATGAATGGGCCACCGGGGGCGGAGGTGGAGCTCCGTCATGGAAGCTTTGCATCTGAATTTCCGGGGCACCATCTGTGCCACGTTCCGTTGATCTCCGCTTCTGAGAAGAAAGCGACCTCAATCCGGGGGAATAGAGACGGTTAGGAGAACCAACTCCGGTAGGGGAACCAGTCCAGCCGTTAGAGTTGGAGCTTGTAGACCCTTTCGGCTGGTCATCCTCGAATGTATCAGTCAGATCCGGTCGAGACTCAATGGCGCTTGTCGCAATAGATGTGAGGGGCTCATCGCGGCTTTGACTCAAAGGTACATGTCTTCCGGTTCGATATGGGGAGTCGTGGGACGCATGCCGATCATAGGAGGTCATCGTATGCCAAAAGGAGCGCCATGCTGAACCGAAGCTGCTCGAATAAGATCAGACAATTCGCTCAGTCTCATTGATTTCGGATGACATTTTGTAACATGAGGAAGGGATGCCTTCTTTTCTTCCTTTGTGAGGGAATTCGAGACCAGTGCAAAGTAGTACTTACGCGTTCGCCATGTTGGGAACCTCCACAGCACTGAGACCAAGCCGAGGGCGAACAAAATCCAGAAACTTTGAGATACTTATGTGTACCGAATGTGGGTCATTTGATTACTGAGGCTCGGGGTCAGATAGGAGAGAGGTGATTTGAGACGGAGGAGACAAAGAAGAAAGGGCGAAACGGCCAAGGACTTTTACCCCCTCGAGCAAGGGGATGCGGTACGGCGTAGAAGGCGGTTGTTGTCTAACTTTCCTTTGATGAAAGAGGGAGAGATAGAACGGGGGAGTATTGAGTGGTATGGGGTGTGTGGATGATAAAGAGAAGAAGAATATCAACAAGTAGGAGGAACCAGAGGGAAGTATATGGATTTCAGACGAAAAGAGGTGATGCCGCTGATTAGTAGTCGATCGACCTTTTATGGACTTGGAGAATTGAAGACAAGCCAGAACGCAGAAAGCGGTAGGTATCCATCACCCAGAAGCAGACGAGTCCATGCGTCAACAGTTATTTTCTGAGACCAATAGCAATTTTAACGATCTGAACAGGAGGTAGATAGATAGTAGTATTACCTATTCGCTACGAGATAGATAGGCAGTAATTATCTCCGTCTAACTATCTGCCTTACCATCTGTACCTTAATTATGGTTGTAGTACTGAGAAACGCCAGGGTCAGCATCCTTCCATCATCTTTCCTACGCCGTTGTCAACGCTTCTTCGTCTCTTGAATCTCTACCTTTCTGCTCTTTAATCTCTCCCTGAGGGCCAGGTTTAGCGCTTTCATGTGTGCGTGTTTGGACTGTGGATATTTGGACGACGCTATCATCCACGATTCGATCATTCGCCTTGAGCCCCTGGGACGTTGGAAACTCTCATTTCCACCTTTTAGAGTTGACTGGTCCATACCTACACAACTACCTTAGTTAACTACTATAGAGTAGATTCACAGAGAATTAAAGGTTGATGAGATATGCGCTTAAGGATACAGCATACACACAACTGACAGACATAATCCATTCCATATGCCACTAGCAACAAACAGCCGAAAACATCGACTGACGCCATCTTGGATGTACCTGCATTCCCCGACTCCCAACGCCTTCCGTTAATAGAACAGTTGTCACTCAATACTGACAATTGCGGTGATAAATATCAGGTTCCATCTTGTGGTTATTTCAGCCGGCTGCATATGGCATGGGGAATCTTAGCTGCGAGAATAATGAGAAGTGAACTGGATATACGATACCCCGTACAGCAACCATCATTCCTATATATCCCCCTTCAGTAGTTATGTCGTGCAATAACGACATGCTCTGCCATGCGAACTACCTTAACACACGGATCTCTTGGCCCATTGTAAATCTAACCTAGGTTACAGAGAAGAACCGTTTCTTCAACTAGTGGCGTTTTAGCGAAATAATCATCGACAGGCAATTTTAAACGTGAAGAGATTTTGCTCTCTACGGGGTAGATACTTCTCACTTCATGTTGACCTCCTTAATAATCCCTGGATTCCCGGGCAGCTGATTCGGACTCTTGGTTGTCCCCTTGATGAATCTTCAAATCTTCCCTACTAGAAGATTGTGCAATCACCATACCTCAGAGTCGTAAGATCTGTCTATCATCACGAATCTGCCCCTGTATCGTCTTCATCCACAAGGGCAGCGAAGAAGCCACCCGTGGAACTATTATTAACCATCAGGGGCGGGGAACGAATAGTACCTACGTACCTAAGTAGGTAGGGAGGCTAAGTATGGACCTTCTACCGGGGCTTCCAGACAGGTTCTGGACTCGGCCAACCTCACGATATTCTTATTTCTTACGGCGTATTTACTCCGTATTACGGTTACAAACGGATTACGCCGAGCTTATTCCCGTCCCGTCTAGACAGAGGTAGCTACACAAGAACAGAACTCCTTTATGAGTACGTAGTGGGCACTGTAGACAATATAATCCTCATTGTCCTTATCCTGTCACACTACTGCTGTACCTACCATGTTGGGCTGTATTTACCAGGAAGCCTACTCTATACAAATAACGACCACCAGGGAATCACAAGCCAGCGGGGCCAGAGTGGGTGCTGAGAAGGATGTGCATGTCTGAGCATGCATCTCCAAGGCAAAGAGTGACTCGAAGCCATCAAGTTTAATAACCCAAGGACTGAGAACACACAACTGAATATGAGGTAGAAATCATGAAGGCCAAGTCAAATGACCTGATGACCCAAATCCGCCATTCTAGATTCGACCTAGCAGGAAATGCGAAAAACATCTCACATCATATAGAGTCTGACCGGGAATGACAAGGTAAAGAAAAGAAGAAGCAGATCGGAAGGGCAAGTGAATGAAGTTGAAGACGAAGGGACGAAGTTGAGATGGCGAGACTTGATGTCACCAGCTGCAAGCGTTAGAGAGAGCAAAGGGCAAACGAATTCATGAAACTAAAGGCAGAGATAGACCGTCCCAAACAAGGTACCTCGAAAACACTCAAAGGCAACCGGACTCCGGGTTCGATGCAATAGAGGGTATATAGACGCCCCACGAAAGGACCCATAAAACCCGCCATTCAAGAGAGCAATAGCCGCTACCAAAAAAAAAAAAAAAAAAAAAAATCGCAGAGATAACTCCATTAGATCCCATAACAAGAAAGGACGTCAGCGGACCTTAGGCATTAAAAAGAGAACAAGAGAACAGGAGAACAAGAAAACAAGAAAGGAGGCCGAAGAAGCAAGGGAACAAAAAAAAGTAGTGAGAATTCAAATAGAAAGCAGGCCGCAAAGTCATGCCAAAGTCCCCGTTGGAATCAATATCGTTCATGTTGCCGTTCGATTGATCATGAGAACGAAGCAAGTCTTCTCCTGGGTGCATCGTGCAGTAGTATCATCGTAAAACCCGTGCGCCAAATTCAACAGCTAAGGGAGAAGCCCAAGCCAAACTTCAACGTCAAGCAAACGAGCTCTGAATACCGTTTGAAGCAAAGCTGGGATTAGCATCGAGTTTCAAAATCCTCCTCAAATCATCTTCCATTTTCTTTGTATCAACAGGAGGAGCGGAAGAGTTCGCCGGCATTTCCTCAGACTTGAAGGGCTGGTGATGTGCTGGAACATAACAGGCTGGCTGCTGCGCGTGGGATTGAGAGGACTTTGATGACCCATAGGTCTCAAGCGGCGAAGAGGCTGCCCCACCAGAGACGCTTATCGCATTCAGGGGACTCGGTTGAAAGATTCCTTTATTCATAGTCGAACTCTGAAGTTGTTGGGCACTACTGGAATAATAGAAAGGAGATTGCAGCCCATTCCCAAAAGATGGTTGTTTCCGTTCAGGTGGCATGTCCCGAAGAAGGGTCGCCGGCGGACCCGAAGTAGTCCTCATGGGAGTAGCGTAATGAGGTACGTTAGGGCTGAGATTTGGTCGCGCAGTGTGACCGATGGCTTGATCATGGTTTAGAATAGACGCTGTTGAAGGCCTCTGAGGTCGTGGATTCAGCAACAGATCCTTGAGAGCTTCGGTCTTCGCTCTTCGTTCCTCCTCATCGAGCTCTGATGTCAGAGAAGACGGCGAGCTTGAAGATCGCAATGCATTCATGCGATCTTTGTAGGACGTGGCGAAAGAAGGCCCAATTTGAGAGTTCCGTAGGTCTGGTTTTTCCATCTCTAAAGGAAAAACACCCCCGGAAGCTCCGTTTCTACCGTTGGGTATCTGGTGATGTTGAACTTTAGAATCTGTTTGCGGAGACCGAGCACCAATATTGGCTTCGGGACTCCGCTGAAGCTGAGAGTTTCTGGCTTCAACGGCAGCTTTGAATAAGAAGTCAAGAGGCGTTGACTGCGGTTTTTCCGATTGGGGTTGAAAATGTGGCCGCGGCTTTGAGGGTGTACTGTCGAGGTCGGGACCAGCTTCGAAATGGTCCACGTCAATTTCTTGTACGGGGTCCGATTCTGGTACAGACTTCGAGAAAAAGCTGGGGATTGGAAGCGCAGAAGGAGCAGGTGACGCATGGAAGGTTGGGCCCGCATAATGAGGGCTGTCTTTGACTTGGGGAGTATTGTTGGCTGGATGCGAAAGTGTGTGTCGGTGTCCGTTGTTGTGCGCCGGTGAGGGTTTAGGTGCGTCGCGTGGCTTTCTGTTGGAGCGAGGATTCTTTCTCTTGGAAGGATTATGAAGATTAACCGACGTATCGGTAACTGCTTCTCCAGGACTCGAGTTCCTCGGCGGCGATGACGGAGGGGTAGTGAGCAAAGCCACCTTCTGGTTAGAAGGGGTTGTTGTTTTCTTCTGATTGCGCCGATTGTTCCGAGATCCCTTGGGCGTCGGAGGAGTAGGAGATGTACTAGACATTGCGACTAGATGGCTTGATAAATAGGCAGCCTTTAGAAGTTCAAGGAAGGACTGAAGGGAAAATGATCAATAACAGCGACGCCACGGATAAGAATAACAGCAATGACGGACAAAGCCAAGTCGCCCTGATACTGCCCAGCAGTCGATTTCAGATACTTCAACGCTAGAAAAGCACAGCAAGAGATGACAATATTGATTTCAGAACGTCAAGGGCAACGCGATGGCCAAAGCTGTCCGGTCAAGGAAAAGAGGGCAAGCTGAGCACAAAGCGAAGGAGGATCGTCTATCATTCGAGTTCAGCGAGTCGCAATGGAAGTGACAGGTCGAAACACTTGAGCAGGCGCTAGATCTAGATAGGTGAACGCAAGGAGAGAATGGAAATAGGGTAGAGACGCATGTTTGTAGCCGGAGACATTTGAAGCTGGAGTAGACTGGCAAGTGGACGAAACAAACCTTGGGAAGGGCGGGAAGAAGTCGGCTGGGGGAGTCAGGAAACTGCCTAGTGGGGATCTGCGATGACTAACAACAGTACCCAAGGCTCAAGCAAACAAAGTGTGGTCAGGTTACAGAGTAAGGTAGACTCTACGCCACTTCGGCCTCGTTTGGTTCTTGCAAACACAATCAAACAGGCAGCTTCCTCTATTTTGAGGCTTTCAAAACAGCTCGCTCCAACTCTTATCAAAAGAGGCGCGACTGTGCGAGACCGCGTCTTCTCTTTTTCATATTACAGCAAGAGGTATGTACCCAACATCCTTTGCCGCCCCTCTTATCAGTATCGCCAGAAAACTTACGTCAGTACCTAGGTAGTCTTCACCGCAACATCCGATACCCTACTATCATTTCCAACTACGTAATTCGAGGTTATTGGCCCATCCTTTGACCCTTTCACAAAACTGCAGTGAGCCTTGGCATCTCCTAGCAACATCTCTAGGTAGATAGGGTAAGGAAACAAAAGAGATACATCACGATGGCGGATGTGGAGATGAAGGAGGCAACCGCCGGGGCCTCAGCCAAAGGCAAAGGCGTGTCGAAGGGCTCAGAAGGGACCAGTGACGGCAAGAAGAAGTTCGAGGTCAAGAAGGTACGGCTGAATCAATGCTTGATTGTCATCTCTGGAAAAAAAAAGGTTGGCCTAATACACAATTAACGCAGTGGAATGCCGTCGCTTTGTGGGCGTGGGATATCGTCGTCGACAACTGTGCAATCTGCCGCAATCACATTATGGATCTATGTATGTCTTTCGCGCCTGTATTCTTGTCTGATGAATACTCATCTCCCTCGCACAGGTATTGAGTGCCAGGCGAATCAAGGTTCATCAACAACCGAGGAGTGCACAGTAGCCTGGGGAATTTGCAACGTAGGTTTCGCCTTCGCGATTCCTTTTCTCTTCATTTGAGGCTAACCAAGGTTTTACCTTCTCAGCATGCATTCCATTTCCACTGCATATCTCGCTGGCTCAAAACCAGACAAGTTTGTCCCTTGGATAACCGAGACTGGGAATTCCAGAAGTACGGCAGGTAGATTAAAGCTCTGGAGATTTACGCAAGTCTTAGTTTGTGATTGCTCCTTTTGATCTTGCATAACCTAGAATACGGACTTTATCGTTCGTTCTGAAACTTTCAACCGCTCCTGAATTGACATGAGAAGGACAGTTCGAAGGCGGGTAGCGAACCGGTCTGGATGGCGTTTACGGTTTTTTATCGAACGTTGCTTGGCCAGAGGCTTTAATGCGCACATTTGAACTCATCATGATTGCAAAGATAAGATATGGTTTCATGGAGTACTCGATTGGTCGAGCAAGAAGATTATTAGGAGATTATGCAACTTTGACACCGTCAACCATGATGCCTGGGCCGCCCGCGCTCCCTGTCGTGGGAACCAGCCATTTTTCAGGATGCTTGTTGTACATAGGCCAAGGAGGAATAACAGCCAATGCCGTCACTAATGTACCCGCCAAACCAGTCCAGAGCGTTAAATGTATATCTTCGTAGATGTATCCAATGAGGAAAGCAGCGACCTTTAGGAATGAGGAAGGCTTGTAAGCAAACGAACACATGTGAACATGGGGATGTGATGAGGAGAGTGCATATATGGATCTTGAATCCGTACTTACTCCTGAAATGATCAAAAGGGCTGTAGAAAGCAACTCGGCGATGCGCTGGCCGTGGAAATCCTAAGTCACCATCAAGTTGCCAGATTAGCTTCTAATCCAGTGGCTAAACGAGGCTAAATAAAGACGAGTGCGTCCGGGAGGCGACAAACAATCTGGCCTTCGAAAGCGTTCTGAACGGGCGCAAGAATATCATCCATAACGAAGATATTGCAAGTAAGAACTATTATCTGATTGTCCGATATTCAATATCGGTTTCGGGCTGGAGATGAAGCTCCAATGGTAGAGTTGTTGATCGCCCGCAAGGCGGAGCGGAGCAAGCCTGGGGTCGGCCTGACCGCCTTTGAAGAGATACAGCTACCACCCGAGAGATGTTAGATATACTCTGTAAAGTCGGAAACATGTGGGCGAGCGAAGGTCTGCTCAGTCATTTTTAAACCGCATCACTTGTATATACCAAGGCAGTGCAATCGGAAGCCAATCTCGAATGTAGTAAAAGTTTCTCATTTGTGATGAGACCTGACCTGGGCTCGGAAATTGGCCCATGATGCATGAGACGAGTCGAGCGACATTGCACAAGGCAGAAAGTTAGTCCAGCTCAGACACCAACAGTCTCGAAAATAATATACATGTCAGACCATGGAATATCCCAATGAGAAACACGCCACCAGTTGTCTAATAAATTCCTCTCTTGCTACTTTCATCGTAGATATATTGAGTATCGAAGCCTCAACGATGTACTGTGGCGCCGTCTTGGGCAGGCTCCAGTAATTTCCACTGGCAGGAGATGTTGTTGGAAGCAAAGTGGGACATAATGCGGTCTGCGATTTCTTCGAATCTGTCGGTGGCTAGGGCCAAAATGGTAGGCCCTGCACCGGATAGACAAATTCCAAGCAGGCCCGGCTGGGTAGACGGGTTCATGGACTGGAGAATCTCCGTCAAGCCCGGGATAAGCGTCTTCCGGTATGGCTGATGGACCTTGTCTTGCATGGCCAGATAAATCATATCTGGGTCTGGCGGGGAGCTGCCCAGTGCAGCGGGAAGCAATGCAGCACGTTGTAAATTGAAAACCTAGAGAAGATGATGCGCATTAGACGACGAGAAGCGCACCAAAAAAACGATTTGCCATACGGATGGCTGAGATGGGTGCAAACTTACGACGTCTGCTCTCGTGTACGTGGTAGGTAGGACGTTTCGTGCGTTGGCAGTGGGCACCACAAAGTCTGGGATAATTGCGATGGCCTTGATCTCCTTGGCCCATTGAAACTTTCGATAATGGCCGATGCCCAGAGGGGGCTCGGGGGGCCTCTTGCCAGTATCAATGCCACCAGCAGGTGCAGGGAGAACTTCACTGAGCGGGATTTCCTTGCGAGCCACATCCTCAGGCTTCAGCTCATTCAAATAGGTACCGACGAAGCCCCCAAAGAGTGAGGCAGCGACATTGTCCGGATGCCTCTCTAGAGAAGAAAGATAACCATCAGTAACAAGGTCAAATATGACATTTTAATGTGCAACTCGAGCCATATTCAACGCACGTGAGCCACAAGGCCAGGTTTACGTACCAATCATCAAGCAATAATCCAGTAGCCTGTCCTTGCTCAACCCGAGACGACCTACTTCATTTCCCAACATCACTCCAGCCACCACCGCTGTGCCTGACGAACCGAGTCCTCGACCCAGAGGAATGGGATTTACAATATGGACTCGAGTCTCAACGGGGAATGCCCTTTGGTCATGGCATCTAAGTACGTACAGAGCTACACGGGTGATCAGGTTAACCTCCGGGTCCAGGCTGATCTTCTCAGTACTCTTGCTCTGATCTTCATACGTAATCACACAATTCAAAGGATGCTCGGACGATGATTTGGAGGAATCAATGGTGACTCGGAGTTCGAGGTGAAGCGACAATGCTAGGCCGATGACATCGAACCCAGGGCCGATATTGGCCGATGAACAGGGCGTTCTGATAATAAAGGAGGAGACAGACATCGCAGTATCAGGGACGTCAAAATGGCCAAAATAACAGTCTTATGGGAAATGCATAAAAGAAAGACAGGAGTGTTAAAAATAAACGGATTAATAGAATATGGCTGGTATCTCTGTAGTAGATAGTAATAACAGTAGTTTAACCTACGGAGTACAGCAGTGACTCTTTAGTTCTTGGCACACACCACAGGAAAAAAAAAAACCAGCCGACCTCGGGGCAGGAGGGGAGGCAATATCTACTACTTAGTGTGGCCTACGGTATGGAGTACTTACACTAATGAATCATTATTATTATTATCATCATTGGGCTGCAAAACAAAGCCTAATAATAACAGAAAGCACCTCATAAGCATATAGCATATAAATTTCTTTAGGTATGAGAGTGCACAGTGATAATGATAGTAATTACGGAGTTAGAATAAGAAATCAGCCTTGCGATGTTAGTATGTAGGCACAATGCTGCATGTCATTTTACCATGTAAAAAATCTCCATAGTCCATACGTTACCTATCTACCTACCTTAGTCTAGGTAGATATTACCTACATGGATATCAGAAACACACTGATCCTGATTTCCAATTCCGTTATCGATGATTTGTCGCTCCTGCCAAGGAGATACCTTTCAGAGATCAGCCCTATGATGGGATTATTGTGGTATTCTGCAGACATACAGAGTACTCCGTAGTCCATACAAAACAGCCCTTAACATATGTATACCTAGTTAACTAGTAAAGCAACAATGATGACACAGACAGTAAAACCTAGCTAGAATAATAACATTGGTCGTTGCTCGCCATTATATCAATTTATTATACAATTGAAAGCGTCAAAGATATCCTAAGTTTTTCTACCTTCCCATTTGTACTGACTTACCTGTGATTCTAGACTTGCCCCGACTAACTTGATTTTGGCATTTGCCTTTTTGCAGAGGACCTAGGGAGTAGTCTAGTACGACTGTACCAGAAGAATTTCCTTTGTGCTAGAATTTTCGCTTTGGGACGGGAGTATGTCACTAAAAGGTAGGCACTTGACAGGTAGACTAGTCTTCATTTCATCATGTACATGGTTGTAGGTAACCGTGCTTATTCTCAGTAGTCTTCTTTTATCACTGCCATTTATCTCTACCTAGTCTTTCTAATATTAATGGCTGCAGACAATTGGAAATTCTCGCAAAAAATCAAATGATGCTCAATGTTGAGTAGCACCTATCTTGATAAGGTATCTGTATTCTTTAGGCAGCTGCCTTACTCCGTACATCCAGTGGATACCTTAGGTAAGGTATAGATGGGTACGATACATCATACACCGTACGGAGTAATGCTCCTGTTATGGCTCTGTACGCTTAGCTTTTTTGCCCCTCTCTTTTTTTTTTTTTTTTTTCCCTCATATGATTTTTCCTTCATTCCCTTATTGTAGCAGTGACATTAGCACACTTAGTGTGGTTACCTTCTCTTATAAACCATCGTCCTGTCTCTCTAACTCAAGGACTACTCATTTCAACCCACCTGGGTGTACTCCCTTTCCAACTATTTGTCTTTACAGTATCCTATATCATTGCATTCGATTGGATTGTTTCCAACCCTGTCTCTGTGTGCAGATTGGTGGTTCAGCCGTTCAGCATCTCGTGTTGGTGTGGACAGGACTTCTCAGTTTCTGTTCCCTTGGAAAAAGCCCTCCGCATCCACCCCCTCTACTCATCAGCCCATCGCTGGGTTTGAACACTCTTGCATTATTGTCTCTTTTTTGATTTTACATCTATTGCTTTACTTGATTGATAGTTTTTGTTCTTAGTCGGCTTTCTGTTGACTCTGTTGGGCTATATTTTCTCTCTTGTCCCAGCGAAAATTCTTGCATTAACGTCATCGACACAAAGGATCTGCGGCGTATCTCGACAGGCCTCTTTCAAGAGCCTACTTGTCGACACAACACCCCTATCATCGCAATACTGGAGCGACAAGGCTCCTGCCCTCATTACACAGTCAAGTTGGCGGGGATTCGCTGCAACCGGACCTCTTTCCTCCACCCTCTTTTGGGCCCCAAGTTCAGGGTCTTCTGCGGGGGCGACACCAGACCCCCATAACTAGGCTTACATAGCAAGCTTTCTGTTTTGGCACAAACAGGTACATCGGTAATGTCAGGCCCTCTCGAGGGGTCTGGCTAATGGATGGAGGAGCACTACTTTCCGGGATCACTTCACAGTCTGTCGTCCTTCCTCGCTTGAACGTCAGGAACGAATCAATCACCCTCACGAAGCCTCACACCTGCGATTTTCCTAAACGTCATCGGTCGATCAACTCCTG